AGCCATCCACTCTCTAAAACGAGAGGGCCCGGCACTGTCATAAGCCGGAAAGCTCATATTGAATTAGTAATCAACCAACTTGACTTAGTAACCTCAGTTTTGAGCCACTCCCCTCCAGGCCTCTAAAAGCTGCTACCCCTTTGAGGATGGAACTTTGTTAAATCACCTACTGATCTGTAGCCACAGTTGTGGCCAAACTCCTGCCTGTGGGGATACACGTTTCAACAAGTTACTTGGGAATTTCCGGGTTGTGGTACTTCTCCCTGACCTAACTTCTACATGGGAATATGGCAGCCTCTGACTGAGCAGAAAAACCAGTTTGTGAAACACTTGCCCAGGTAATCTATTCAAAAGGAGGTAGCTCTCCAGAACTTTTAGGGCAGGTCCAGACAAAGAGTGTGGCCATGTGCAGTAGGATGAATAAAATCCTTAAGACGCAAAACTAATATCCCAGAATATTGCTCTGAAGCCTGCGAAAACCTGGTCACCCACAGACTGACTGATTTGCCTCATTTTTCATTTTTTCACTTGTCTCTTTCTGACTGATGCTTTAGTTAAGGTGTTGTTATTGAATATTGAATATAAGTTTGCACAAGCAGAACTTCAGGTATGAATTGCAGCTAAATTAAAAATAAGTTGTCCTGAGTCATAGAACCATTTTTCTTGCTTGCTTCGTGAGCGATTATGCAGCAAAGAGAGCGATCTCTTTTAAAAATGTAATTTTCATAGAATTTTGAGTTTAGAGGCCACTCTTTCATAACCCCTTTATTTTAAAGACAAGAAAAAGCCTGGTTAAGTGATTAAGCAGGTTAAGCGATTGCCCCAAATTCACAGAGCTTGTTAGTGGCAAAGATAGAACTTATTGCAAAGGCTTCCACTCATAATGTATAATATTTTACTTTATTTACTACACTGCCACTCTTTCACAGGCAACTGTTTTATTTATTTGTTTGTTTGTTTCGAGTTGCCATTGGAGGGGTAGAAAATAGTTGAACCAGACATAAAAAGGGAAGGGGGAAAAAGTTGAAAAGAAATCTGGAGAAAGAAAAAAGTAGGAAATTAAGTAGGCTCAGTATGAGAAAGGTAAAGCCAAGAATTGCCCAGTTGCCACATGGAAGACCCTGGGGTCAGGCCCTGAGCTGGGCTGAGTATTTCAGCCATGACTGGCTGTAAACCCAAGAGAGATCTCAGAGATAACCAATCCTGAGTGCATGCTGTGGAGCTAATCCCAGATCTCTTATTCAAGGCTAACACACTTATTCCTGGGCTGCTGGCGAGATTGGTTCCTGACCATTCACATCTGTATCAATCAGTGGGCACTGCCCTCAGTGAACTGCTTTGCCAATGACTACACCTCTCCCGAGGATGCAGGATATAGAGATGCAAAGGCCCAATCCCCTCTGGACTGCAGGCTGTAACCATGTTGAGGGGCAGCTTCTCCCTCTGCCCAATCCTCCCCGTCTTACTCCCTTACAGGTATATCTTTTTAACCACTTGCCAATAAATTGTCTTCCTGCAAGGTATGTTTCCAGGTAACTCAATCTAAGATACTACCCCAATTCACACTTTGTGTGTATCACTCAAAATTGGGACTAAAACCCAGGTTTCCTACATCATCATCTTGTTAACCCAAACCATTCTCAACTGCTATACCTCTTCCTACGGCTAAAGCTCTTTTTATACACAACTTGACATAACTCATCCATCTACCAGGGGTGGTCTCCCAAGAAGTGGTATGCTGACCATCGGTGTGTTACACAGGTGATTTTGATAGTACTTGGGTGGGCTGGCTTTTACTTTAATAGTTGTTATCTCAGGTTGGGGATTCCTCAAAATCAGACCTTGAGATGAGGACTCCAGTGAAAATGATTTCTTAGCCTCCAGGCCAGCTTCACTTATGTACATTCTGTAGAGTCACACACACACACCTGTGTGGTCACATGGCCCAGTACTTGGTTTAATACTCTTGAAATTCTAATAATTTATGAACTTTTTAAAAAATCTTGCATTGGACCCTGCAAATCACATAGTCCATCCTGATTAGGATGCGTTCCTGGGAAACACCAGTAGGGGAGTGGGAAGTGGGACCCTGAAAGGTAAGGCAAACAAGAACGGGAAAAAGGGATCAAACATATGGTCTCTGATGGACATTTGGTGGTAAGCATGCTATAGTGTATAAAATTATTGAACTATAATGTTGTTTTCCATGACACTTACATGTTGTTAACCAATGTTACCTTAATATATAATAATAAAAAAAGAATGTGATATTAAGCAAGTTTCCATAGGGGAAAGGAGATAATTTGGCCCAATCTCATAGGGAACCAACTGTAGACACTGTGGACAATGGAGATCCAACCTAGAGTTGTCCCAACTTGGGGCAAAGGAACTGGAGTATTGATACTTCCATACTCTAAAGGCTGGGCCAGGGGCAGGGACACATTACTTCCTAGGCACTTTCAGCTGTGCCATGCGCAGGCAAAGTAAATCAAGGTGAGAGTGGTGCTCTGACAAGGAGATTCAGGTCCAGTGATGAGAATGAAAGCACAGCTGAAACCAATATGCACAAAATTCTAAAAGGATTGGAGGGGATATGGCGAAGCACTGGCAGTAATTGCTGGAGTTAAAGTGTATACTTCCAAGTGATGTAGGGTAAGAGACAGATGCTTGCCTATCAAACCCGAGATTTCATGGGTGAAATTACTAATAGCAAGGGCAATGAATGTAAGAAATAACAAAAGTAAGTCAATCAAAAATATAAATTAAAAATCATAGGTGATAGAAGATGAAATGTGAATGACTGAAGTTTGGACACATCATCAGAGGGGAAAGAACACTAGACCCAGGGTCATGGGTAAGAGCACAAAGTTCCATGGGTTTGAATTCTGACTCTGCCACTTTTGGACTGCATGGCTTAACTTCCCTATGTCTACCTGTTAGGGTCGTTAAGAGGATTAACAGTTAACATATGTATTAAAACAACATCTGTAAGGTAAATGTCAGCTCTCATTATTCCTGCCTAGCTACTAACTAGATCAGTACTTCTCAAACTATCTGTGGTATTTGATTTTCAATCTGTTGCAGACTGATGCTTTTATACAACAGCTTAGATACAAAATGGATAATGAGAAAATGAAATAAAAGACACACAAGACACATGGCCATATTTTTAGTTATTAAATTGAACAGGCAGAAAATTATTCAGTTAAATTGCTATAAAACTTTCTAAGTGCTCATCTTCGATTTATGCTTAACCCATTACAGTTGGATTAACAGATCCCTGATCTCAGATTATGATGTTAATCTATTAACATCATAAGAGACCCCAGACTGTCACTGTTCCATGGGCCACGCTTTGAATAGCACTGAATCAAAGTAAACCTTCAATAAGCCGCTGAAGTTTTTGATGCCTCAGTTTTTAGGTTTGTGCAAGAGATGAATGAGATAATGTACAGGAAAGCATTTACTGAACTGTAAAGTGCCCCAGAAATGGAAACTACTAGTAGGACTGGAGGAGTTGATTTTATAGTCTGTGGCCAAAAGATAGAAACTCCAGTGCATGACAGTCTCAGTCCCTGCTGGCATCATGCTGTTCTGCATAGGGTGTACCCTTGGAACTGTCAGTATCTGTAAATCAGTAAAGTGTTTTCTCTCACTGTACAAAGCAGGAAGTAAAGGGCTCCCCCGGCAGGCTGTGGCTTGCACCCCAACAACTACCGCCATCCACAGGTTGTGACAACTACACTCCCAGCATCCAAGCACAAACGTCCTTTACCAGCAGCATCCCTTCTGCAGCCTGGTCAAATGATTTTAACCAGAATGAATGTGAGAAGCCCTCCCTAGGAAAGTAAGTGTGAAGATAATGTCCTTACTGAAGTTCTTAGCTCCAAGATTCACTGGGCCTCACTTCTCTTCATTTGGTGAAAGAGGACTCACAGACGGCCCTCACTACTGCTCTTAGACTCCATTGCAAGTATGGACTCTTCCCACACTGGTTCTAAATGACCTACTTTGGCCTCGCCTTCTCTTTTATCCCCACCCTGTCAAACAAGAAAGCAGACATTTAGGGATATGTGGGAAGTCAGATAAGTGGTAATATTTTGGAACATCCATCTTTTTGCTTTCTGGACTTTTTGAGGGTGGGCCCCGTCTGATTCATCTCGGTTTCTCCCCCCATCACCTTTCATGCAGTGTGTGTGGCACATAGCAGGTGCTCAATGAATGTTCATTGAATGGCTCTGTGTCCGAATAGTTTGAAGTCCTTGGAAACAGAAGTGGCTCTTCAAACTACTGGATCCTGAATCCATCCAGAAACACACACACACACACACACACACACACACACACACACACACAGAGAGCAATTCATTACGCAGAACTGTTAGGTACTGGACATTCGGAAACACAAATTTCATGCGGAAGAGATGGAGGTGAAGTTCATAATTGATAGATATACTTCAGATACAACAATCCTCAGTTATATCTCCACTTTCTGGGAAACAGAATCTCTCCGTGGCCCCAGGGCCCTTTAAATTTTACTGTGACTGTTTTCTTAAGGAATTCCTGGAGCGGAGCCTAACTTTGGTGTAGGGGGTTGGCAGCGCACATATTCGCAGCCCAGGGGACTGTTGGCATCAGGGTTGGCGAGGCGTTCGCACGCGAAGGAAACTTCCGAGGAGTCAGAGCAGCCCCCTGGAACATTGCGAAGTGAGGGTCCCGAAAGTCCTTGAACTCCGGGGTTTCAGCGAGTTTGGGGAAGGAAAAATCGGAATGGCCAACGCAGTCAGACGTTTGCGGAGCTTCAGAGCTCCCAACCTCCATACTCTGCTTGCCCGGACACTACACAGGATCGGCGGCCGAACTCGGTAAAGAGCCAGGGCGTCTGGGGCAGAGGGAGGGCCCGGGCCGCAGGAAGGAGTCTGGGCCGCCACCGCCCCGCCCGTCGGGCTGTCCGCCCCGCCTACCCCGAACGAGGCGGAGCCGGCGCGGGAGCTGCCGGAGGAGGAGGAGGTGGTGGAGGAGGAGAGGTCGGAGCCGTCTCCAGGAGCCCTTAGAGACAGAGTGCCCGGCGGCAGCGGCGGGGCAGAGCATCCGCAGACGAGTGAACACCGAGCGGAGGACTCAGGTGGTGAGTTGGCCCCCCGAGGGGACAGAGGCGCAGCGCGGGGCGCAGCGCCGGGCGTCGGCCGGCCAGTTTGGGGGCCGCCTCTGAGTTCCCAGTGCTGGGAAGCGAGATGGAGGGAGGGAACGGAGGAAGGAAGGAAGGAGGGAAGAGTGTCCCGGAGGGCGGGGACTGGTCGGGGCTCTGGGCGCCGGAGAAGGGGATGGGGGAGGGAGGGCAGGGGACGCCGAGACCCTGGACAGACGGCTCGCTTACTTCGACGGACGGCAGCCGTAGGGCACGGGAAGCCGGGGGCCCTTCGAGGTTAGGGCCGGGGAAGCGGCCCCTGGGATGGGGGCGGAAGCCGGGGTAAAGGTCTCCCTGCTCGTTCGCTTCCTCGCCCGCCCGGGGCCGTGCGCCCCGAGCCCGGTTGGGTCTGGGAGGCTCCTGTGCTCCCAGTCCTGGCTTTGCGGTGGAGCCAGGTTTTGGAGGAGGGCCGGCCTCTGGGGGCGACCCGGCGCCACGCCCCTCTTCCCTACTTTCTTCCGCTCTTTCCTGGGACTAGCCCGCGGGTGCGCAGCCTTGGAACCCGCTCGGCGATGAGGGTCTCGCGGGGAGATAGCGGGTCACAGAGAGAAGGACCCACAGCTCACACCCCGCGAAGCACCCCCGAGCAGGGAGTGACCCGGGGACAGTATTTGCAGGTGATAGATGTATGGGGAAGTCAAGACTCAGACATGAATCTTGCGTGATTTTTTAAAAAAGTGCTGTTCGGGCACTTAGTGCGTGGATCAGGGTGACTTCCTTTTTAATTTGATTTTTTAAAAATACTAGGGCATATGAATTAAAGCTAATTTTCAAAAGCTGTAGCTAGTCTCCCAACACTCACTTGTCCCTCGCCTTACGTTTGTATCTTGGAAACGTGACTTAAACCATTCATAACTTTCGAAAAGGAACTCGTGATTCTCGTAAATCACCGCCGTGGAGTAAAACTTTGGACAACAGGAAATCTAAGAGAAGGAATTGACGAGGCTGTCATCTTGTGGTCACCCCTGTCCGGGTGTGGTTGTATGTATACAAACAAGTGCATTGAGAAGGAAATGGACCAAAACCGGAGAGAAGGAAGGTCCCCTGTGCCCGCGTGTCAGGGCACGTTTAATGGCTGCTCCGAATGGAAACAAGCCGGGAATTTATTAGACCTTGTGGAGTTGGAGAAACTTCACAAGATCAGCTTCCTTCCCATCAGTTATCTCCCACCCCCACCCCCCGTCTTTGCGGACACTGTTTATATTTCCTGGGGCTGTTGTAGCTTCGTCTGAATAGATTGTCTATAATGAATCTTTTGCATGTTGTCAGAGGCAGGGTCTGGGTCTGTATCTGTGAGTCCTCTACTTTGAAAACGGAGTTTGCCGAGGTTTTTAAGGTGCTCGTCACTGTAGTGCACCATTCCTGGTGCCTCTCAGCTCTCCGTGTGAATTATCGCAGGATGGCGGCCCTCACCTAGGAGAACCAGGAAGGCAGGCAGTGCTAGAGTGACGGGTTGGGTTTACTATTGCCAAAACAATCACATTTAAGTAAGGAGCTGTTTTTCTATTTTCAGGGCAAATTGTATGTATTGTATGAGCAAGTCCCCTTTCCAGTAAACAAACATGATTCACACATTACAATTTTTAAGAGTAATCAAGCGTTTTATAGAGACTTCTGTGATAAAAGGTCTTTCGGATCAAATGTTCAGTCCCTTTGAGTTCCCTAACAGTTAAATAGCACCATAAAACCTTGATTTAGGTCCAAAAATGCTAAGTAGTGTAAGAACTGTGACTTTACACCTTATAAAAAAATGCAGTCATATTTTTACTGTGTTTAATCCAGGTAATTGCTTAGGTATTGAACCCCAGTGGCATTAAGATTTGTACAGAAAGACATAAATATGTGAATCTGTGTTTCACAAGAGACTGAAAAGACTAATATTATAAAATTTTTTTGTATAGGGAGCTCCAGGCACATTTGAAAGACTAGCTCATTAACAATGAGGTTCGTGGGCTTGTGTTGTCACTTGTTGAAGGACATGGGTGGTTTGTCGAGCTGTAACAGCTAAGAGCTTCATAGTGAAAACACTTGAGGAAATGGTTAGCTAATACAAGATTAGTTTTTTTGTTGTTGTTTTTGAAAACCACTCTCTGGGAGGAAAAGAAAAATTCACATTTAGAATTATGTCATTTATTGTGTTGGATTTGTAATTGGGTGTGTTTTTTTATTTTTATTTTTTAATTTTACATGTCAGCTAAAGCTTAATCTAGGGGCAGGGGAATTGTGGAAGTCAAATAAAATTTTTCCAAGGCCTGATTTGGAAGAGAAGCCGTTTAACAGTGGTTTGTGGCTTGGGTTTTGTTGTTAGAGACAGACCTGGATGGGATTATTAGTTATTTAACCTTTTTTAGTTTGATTTGTAAAATGAGGATGATAGCAGTCCCTATTTTTTAATGAAAGCACATGAAACAATTTTTGGAAAACACTTTGTACCTAGCACACAGTTAATGTTCAAAATTATTAGATATTTTACTTATCTAGCTGACTCTGGCAGCAGGCTATTGGATAAATTACGAGTTGGCAGCTTGAATGTTTGGGAAGCACTAAGTATTGCAATTTTAAATTCCAAAGAAGGTATCTGATTTTATAGATAGGGAAATAGATGTAAAATATTTGTGTACATATGTGTGTCATGTTTCTACCACAGTGATATGAATAATTATAATTAATATATTAACAATTTTAACATGTTTTTAGTGTTGAGGTTACACATGTATAATGTTTTTAGAACTAAGCAGTCAGAAACATTCATTAATCATATTTAAATGTAAAGAGAATTTACATTTCAAATAGTCCAGTTTATTAGCCCTGGGTAGGAAATTAAACAGGGAACGGAAGTATTTGTCTTTAACCAAGTATGATTTTTAATTAAAGTATGAAGAAATGTGACCCAAGGGTATCCAGTTATTTACTTTTTCATGTACTGATGTCCAGTGCCAACAGATAAGCCATAAGTAGTATTTAGGGCTGATTGAGAGTGTTTCATAAACGTTTTGTAAAACCATTATGACTGATTATATAAACTTTTGTGGGAATGCATGTTCAGTTAATTCAAGAAATCTTCTCATCATATCATTGGACCATTTGCAAAATCTTAAAAATGCTTCCGTCTTTAAAAACAAACTCTTTTAAGTGCCTATTGTTTTTTCTTAATGCATATCAGGTGCATAGGATTGGACTGATTGGAATCATAGCTCATGCCACACATGACGTCTCATTTCACTAATCATTCCACAGGGACACAGAGATGGTGCTTTATAATATTTTAAAATAACTGTTAAGGGTATAGTGTTGTTATGAATCATTTCTTGCCTGTCACATTATACTCTGAAGCAGTGGAGGACTTGATTGAATAAATTATTGATTTTTTTTTTTTGACTCCTACAACGTCATGGCATAGTGATGTATTCCTGGCCTACGTTTCTAGGTGTGTAGTGTGGGCAAGTTAACGTAATATCTCTGAGCTCCAATGAGGTGTTGTGAGGAATATTAGTTAACCTATCAAAAGCATTTAGATCAGTGCCTGACATGTAGTTTATGTTCAGTAAACATTAATGTTAAATTATTACTCACTGAAATTTTCTCTTTCTAAATGTTATATAATGAGCATGTATTATTTTTGTAACAAGAAAACAACTATACGAAATTTCAGTGTTTCCCAAAAAACTAAAGTTTAGTAATTTAAAAAAAATCCTGCCAAGCAGTGCCTGTGAGGTAAGAGAATATAATTAGGCAATTGTCATTGAATCTTTTAAATGTGAAATGGATTGCAATATTAGTTTTTTCAACAAGTTAATTCTCCTAGATCTCAGTCTTATTTTCCTTTCTTATTGGAAACTTTTTTAAAAAATCAGTAATCCATGAAATCCATGTGATGCTAGATGAAGGAGGGGTAGGGCAGTATGCACAGTTAGAGTGCATTATAATTACAGCCAGGGTAAAAAAAAGTGTATGCATAGAAAAGAAAGTCTAGAAGAAAATACAAACGGATGGTGGGACTATGGTGCTTTCCCCATCCCCCTCCATTTTCCTCAGTGAATGTGTATATTGATTAAAAATAATCCATTTGTGTAAAAATTACTCAGTAAAAATTCTAGTTTATTAGCTACAAATAGAATTTTGTTGCTGCTTTAGAAAAAACACCAGCTCACAAAGCAATTAAATGTCAAAGCCTTGGTAATCAAGAGTTGTTTAGCAGTAAAAGAGAGGCTCTTTCAGAAGTTTGCAGGTTTATCTTTGTAGGAGATGTTTGAAATTAGCGTCTGCATACAGACCAAGCCTACTGACCTTGACTTGTGGGAGTTGTCACTTCCCAGATCCAGGCCATGCAGTGATGTGCTGCACACTCACACTGCCTTCAGTGTATCAAATGCCCGCGAGGACAGTCATGAGAAAGAGGTAAGCTCACTTAATTTAACAGGAAAGTTCGATAGATAAAAATACTTTCAGCAGAATTGTGTGACTCCATTTATTGAGCTGTTCTACATCCTGGGCCCAGGTCTCAGCCCTTTCTACACATGGTCTTGCCCAGTTTCTTCAGCAGCCCAGATGAGGAAGCTGAGGCTCCCTCAGTGGCCAAACCAGAGGTTGACCCAAAGTTGTTCTGACTCCAGGTCCCGTTCACTAAGCACTTTGCTAAGTACTGAAGTGGAGGTGCATCCAGCCCTTTTTAGGGATGACATGACCCGCTGAGAATTATCGTTGCCTTTCATCGGTCTTATCCTTCTTCAGCCATAGAAGTTGAAACTTGCAAAATTGCGGCAGAGACCCAGCGGGCCTGAAGTGGCCTGTGAAGTCCGCCTCTCCAATCCCTCAACTCCCAAAGTGGGCTTGAAAGTACAGGTGAAGGAACTGGCCTGCTAAATCCTATTCTAGAACCAGCTCATACCAACAGGTCCTGCCCGTCCTCCCCAATTTTCCTTTCTTGGGAATGAAAGGAG